ATTGGACTATATGTAGAAAGATAAAAACAAATTTTTTGCTTTTTTTTCTTCTTCTTCGAATGATTCTACTAACTCAAGAACTTCATTACGAGCAACAATTGTATCTTGATTTTGATGATTAGCTATTAATTTATATTCAGTATGAAGAAAAACTAATGAACCATCACGTGCATTTAAACGCCATTGTAATTTACTGGCACCGTTTGTTACACCTAAAAATTAAGAAAAATTTTCTTTTATTTAAATTTAAAATACAATTATTTAAATTACATTTCCATAGTGCATGTAATTTAACTAGACGATCTTCATGATAAACAAAATTGAATATAGATTGAGACACTATTTCATGTGGTAGATAACCAGTTATTACAGCACCTCTATAAGAAAAATATAAATTTAATTCTAGATAAATTAAAACAGATTGATTGTATTTTTTTTTTTCATTAATTTTAAATAAATATTTAGGTTTTTTTGTTAAATTATTCAAAAAGATTGAATTTATCTATGAATACAAAGATAACAGTATTCATATATTAGATCTTATTCGAATTTTTTTTTTCATTTTATTATCGAATAAATATTGAGATAAATGAAAAAATTCTTAAAAAAATAATAAAGTTTTAGACATTATTAAAAGTTTGAACCAAGGTTAAACTGAAACGTAATAACACGTTTTAATTATATGAATGGGTTGTTAAGAAACTACGACGTATATAGAAGTCTAAGTGGATTGACTGAGCCGTTGTCTCCGCCAACGCTCACGTAATGCTGTAGTCATTAGTGTAAATGATTTCTGAAGACTTCAGCCGTTTGTGACGAGACATGACCATAAATATTTAATTCTTTTTTTTTCAAATATTTGACAAACAGAATCAGATTTCAAGAATATTCTTATTCCTATGTTTTCTATCGTTACTTATTCGTTTTTTCTACTTGAAAATTTTTATTTATTCATCTATGAATCAATTAATATCTCAAAAATATACACTCATCTATTCATTTTTTGAAACACGAAATCTCAAACAAAAAGAAATTTTGAAATATTATTTATTACAAACATCAGCATATTGATTTTATCAATAAATTTTCTAATCTTTCGTCTTCTACTAGTAAACAAAATAAATCCTAATCTGGATTAGCTGTTCATTATAAAAACAAAAAAGAATATTATTAAATCCTTTCGTTTTTCAAGATTAAAGTAGATTTACTCGGGTTTCATATTATCAGAAACAAATACAATAACAATATTAGTCTATACATAAGATTACTTTTGTTATAAAACATGATTTTTCTCTTTGTTTGTATTACTGTTTTAGTTTTATGATTTTATTCAACTATTGAAACAAATAGTCTACGATTAGGATTATATATCGAACTGTTCATATAATCATAATATCTGTTAATTTTTAGTATCAACGGTCATGCAGTCTATTTCGAAAAAAAAAAACAATCCTTCATGTAAATAAATTAGAATTTATATAAAAAGCCTAATTAATCACTACTATCTACATTTTTATCAAAGGATATTCAACACAGTAGGGGAAAATTTTTTTCCCTAGGTTATTTTTAATGAGAAACATTTTATAATAAAAACATGTTTCCTTAATAGACAATAAAAGTAAAAAATTAGAAAACTCTAGAGGAATGTTATTATTAAAAAACAACGTCATGATATTGGAAAAAATTTTTTTTTTTTTTTTTATTTGATTTTCATACCTATGATCTTCGAATGTAATTTCACCTATTAAATTCATTTTTGTATAAAATTCTTCTTTATGTACATCAAAAAGTGTGATATCAATATAAGATGAATCATCTAATGTTAAAACAAGTATTGTTCCTATTGAAATACTATGTCGAGGTGTTGTTGAATGTACATCTAATCAATAGAAAATCAAACCAAAAAAAAACTTTGGAATAAAAAACATATATATATATATTTCTCTTACCAGCATTATCGTGATTAAATTTTTTCTTTCGATGTACTTTTACTTGTCGATATTCATTTGTAACAGCCATTATCATTCGAACACAACAAATATCGTACACTAAATTTTATAATCAATTAATATTTTTAATCAAAAACAATAAAATAATTTTTTATTTTTTGAAACGTTCTTTAAGTGCGAATTAATTTTTAGGATTATTTATAGAACAGACTACATATTAAATTAACATAAAATATATAGAGACATGGCATGAGATATCGACTTTCATATAGAATAGTTTTTTAGAGTTCGATATTTCATTGAAATATTTTATAAATTCTACATTAAGTTACTCTAATTTTCGAATTAAAATTTTACAATGATCGAAATTAACAGTACTGATACATTTTTTGTAAAAAAAAAAAAACAATTTGATCTACGACTTTCATTGATTATTAGTTTTTTATACGTGATCGACCGTCTATGATATTATTCTCATAAAAGCATTGAGATTAATTTTAATATTATTCTCATGTGATTAGTTTTGTGTAAGTTTCAATTGATAAATTGTTTTTTTTTTTGTTTTACAATCATAGGAAAGTCAAACATGATCATTTTCTAATTAAATATATATAGATATTTTATATAAAAAAATATACTAAATAAAATTTTAATTTATTCAAATAGTTTTCATATTACTATTCTATTGAAATTTTTAAAATATTCCTATCTAATGTATAAAATGATTGTTTTTTTCGATTTATAGAATAATTTTGTTTTTTTTTGTTACACATTTTGTAAACATATAATAATACAAAAAAAAAGCCTACACAATAAAATTAAGACTATTATTTATATTCATGAAGAACATCTTATAACAAAAAAAAAGTATTTAACTATAATTAACTGTCATCTTACAAAAAAAAATCTTCTTGACGAATCCATATAAAAATCTCAACATTATTATGCAAATATTTTCTTTTTTTCTTTCTTTATCAGATGATTTTATTTATGCATGTATGTAAAAAAAACGAAGAAATTATATACAATTCGAACGAGCAAAAACTTTTTATCAATTGATAAAGAAACAAAACAAATTTATTATTATTATTATTATTTCTAGACATGTTTATTCGAAAGATAAAAAACAAAAAAAAAAGTTAACAGATTTTTTTTTTTTTTGTTTTTTTTCTTATCAAATAATTTTATTCATCAATAGAACACAAAAGAATTAGTTATATACAGTTTGAATGAAAAAAGAACATTATCTGTAACCTTATAAAAAAAAATAATTTCCTTTCCGAAAACTTCTATTTAGAAAGATAAAAGGATCAATGTCTATGTCATTAATATTAATATAGTGAGTTCGATATATATGTTTTAAATATTTTTTTTTATACTTACATTCTGATGTACTAGAAAGAAATTTTGCAAATGAATCTCGTTCACTATCTTCAATGAATAATAATATTGAAAGACCAATAATTTCAGACTTAAAAAAAAATAAAACAAAAGTTTTTTTTTTAATTTCAAAAATATTATTATATATTTTATAACGAACTTGTTCAAAACCAAAATAATTTTTTATTGTTTTGGATACATCAATAATAATATTATGATTATCAAGACAAATGAGGGTACCTTGCATCGCGTCAAGCAATACATTGCCCATTTCTTCTAATGGTAATCGATTTTGCTGACGTTGCTGTGCGTATGTAGTTACGTCAACTAGACAAAAATCAAGACCGAATGAATAAAAGCAAAAGAAAAAAAAAAAGGAATAATCTCAAAAATAAAAAACAAAAACAAATTGTTTTCATGTTCGTGTAAGTTAGTACAGAAAGGGACAATTCTTTTTTTTTTTCTTTAATAGCTAAGTCTGAAAAGTTTCTTTTTTTTTTTTTGGTAACCTATATTATTATTGTTTAAATATACTTACATTTGTTTCCATCGGACATTACGCCAAAGGCTGCCGCATTGCTTTCTTTTGCTATATGGTTTAACTAACACGTCCTAATACTTTCAGACGATAATAATAAAGAAATGAGAAAAAAAAATATGATGAATGCAATACAATAGTAATTCGATAGATAAATTAGTTAAATGTCAATTTCAATGCTCGCGTTAGTATCGTTTTTTTATATTTCTTTTTGTTTTCTTGTTAATCTAATTAATAATAAAAAAAAGAAATTTTTATTGACAAATAAATCATGGGGTTTTTACTTACAATATATTTTTTCTTTACTTAACATAATGAATCATGAACACATTTTTTTTTTTTTGGTAAACAGTTGAATCTGAAAGAATGCTATTAGACTTGTTTTCCTCTTTCCTGTAAAATGTAACGGGTATAATTTGTAATAAACAACAACCACACAAAAAAATTGCCTTCACGTTTATAGGACACTAAATAAGTATTTGAATCCATCTGTTTAGGTATTTTTCTTTGTATTTATTTCTATCTACAGACATTACTGATGGTAGAAAACGAAAGAAAAAAGCTAAAATACGAAAAAAAAAAGTGAAAAAGAATTTGCTGTTTTTGTCAACTAATAACTCAATATACATAATAATAAAAAAAAAGAAAGAAACAGCGGGACCGAGAAGAAAAAAAGTGACAATGATTGGAAAGAATATTAAAAATAATCAAAAAAAAAAAGAAAAATGTCATACCATGAAAGTTGTATGAAAAATGCACATAACAAAAACCTTTGATGTGTCATAAGAATTAACACAATATATTTACCTTTTTTTTTTTATATCTTTTTTTCTTGGAAAAAAAATCAAAAAACATTCGATCGTATCTGAAATTGAAAGAAAATAAGATCAAAAAAGTGGAAAAACAATTTATCATGTCACATTCTAGTTGCTATCTATGCATTATGATTATATGCACGCTTGAACTTTTTTTTGATTGTGTTTGTCTTACATTCCTTTTTTTTTTCTCTTCTCTTTAACCTACAAATATTCCGAGTATCACGACCACCAGTTGAAGAAAAAATATGCGGAACGGACGAGACAGTCACACGTGCACAGTGCGTGTGAGAGTCTTTGCTCCTCCTTCTCGTCCTTCTTTTCTTTTGTCGGTTTTCCTCTTGTCGTCGACATTGGCGTCTGGTGGAAAAAAAAAAGATCTATAGTGAACACGATATAAGTCATGTTCTTTGATGTAGACATCGTTGACAAACTGTTTGCATCATTGCTCATAAAAAGGAAAAGACATGTTGAATATCAGGTGTACGAGTGCTATGTCAAGAAATATCATGCTGAGATAAAAACAGAATAAAGTTGTTTTGTGTTTTTTTTTTGCATTTTACTGTTCTACAAAAGACTGAAAGCTGAATAAAAAATAATATATCATGCTTAGTGTATATAGCTACAGACGCTCTCGTTATATCAGTGAAGAGATGCTTAAGGGATTTCATCCATTCCTCTTTCATCACAGTTCATAATGAAGAAACTAAATCATGCCTGTATGCACGTAGTTTCTTATTCCTTCATATATACCAAAAGCAAATGAATGGCATGCATAAACTAAGAAGCAAAAGAAAAGAAGAAAAACGAAAGACATCAAAATAAATGATCCATTTAAAATTAAATAGATATTTTTTGAAAAAAGCAAAAAAAAGAAAAACAATAACCAAAAAGAAAAGAAACTATACAACTAGACAACATTATCATGATTGTTTCTGTTGATGACGACGAGAAAATAGAAAAATACCCTTCTTTTCAAGAGCATCTTCTTCAAGTTTATTAAATGTTGGTTTTAATGTTAATTGTTTTGTTAATAATAAATCCTGATTTATTTCAATAAATTTTAATGTTTTTTCACTTAATTCAATTCGATATTCAATTAAATCATTCTGTTTTTCTTCTTCTTTATCTTTTTTTTTATCAATTTTTTCATGATTAATTAACATATATTTATTAAATAAATTTATATTTGGATTAAATCTAATATGTTGAACATTGATTGATTGTTTTGGATATTTTTCTTTATCATAATTAAAACGTTCAAGTTTATCACTTATATCAATTTGAAAACTATGTTCATCATTTATTAATTTTGCCCATAATTGTATTGGTTTTTTATCTAAATTTATACAATATTCAATACCACAATTAGGATTTTCTATTGGTTCTTTTATTTGAGAAATATTTGATTTTATATTTGTACGATTTGATTGATAAATACGAGAAAAATAACTTGATTTTTTTTCTTGTTGTGATAAACGATATTGTTCTAATAATGATGGTTGACATCGTAAACAACCTGAACATGGATTTGAATAAATAATCGATGATTGTTCAGATGATAATATTGAATTTAATGAATCTCTTATAGAAAGATATATTGATGATATAGGATATTTTAAATAACTGAAGTACCATAAACGTTTTTGAAGTTGTTCAAGACGTGTATAATGACCGAAATCAAATGTACTTGCATAGCTAAAGATAATTAAAAAAAAGAATGAATGATATACAAAAGATTTTAAAACTAGTTGAGATTTTGATAACACAATCTTTTTTTTTTTGTTTCATTGTCAAACAACAAAACTTTATTTTAATAACGAGCGATCATAAACTAATTAGTAGAGCCCATCGGCTTAGTCTCCAGTTCGGATGTAAAAATTTCGGATCCGACAGGCTCTAGTCCTCAGAGAAATGCGTAGGATATGCTATTTACCGAGTACAAAAAAAAAGCATCGTACGAGCAACTATACTATTTCAATGAGAAAACTTCATTGAAAGTATCAAAGTATGATCCGACGAATTTTTATAATTAGAAAAAAATATTCAACCTTTTAAATGAAGCCTACAGAATATTCTTTCTATGTCCTACTAGAAGTCCCCTCGAGAAGCATCGACGTAAAAGATTTATTGAAATCCTCAGAACTTCTATTGTATTCAAAACAATATCAGTTTGTTAAATGTAAAGCTTTGTAAATGTTATTAAATTTTTCTTAGTGTCAAGTATCATCTGTATATGAAAAAAAAAAATGTTTCTTTTAAACATCGAATATTTTTGTATGTTAATTCAAAAATTTTCTTGGACTGACTTGCAGCAAACTAATTATTACTATAACATTGTAATAGAAAAATGTTCGCGATATTTGAAATAATTTTTATTTCTATGTTGAAGAATTTTTTATGTATTGAAATTTGTTCAAATTTATTTTACGAACCTCTAAAAGGTCAGTGTAAAATTTTTAAACATGAAACACTCTAGAAAATTTTGATAGCCATATTCAGAAAAAATACAACATTCCTATTCAAAACTCTCAAATTATATATGAGAGTTAAGATATAGATACATATACTTTTTGTCTTCATAATAATAATTTACAAAGAATCTACAATGAGTTTTTATTAATAGAATATGATTTGTAATAATTAAGATATAAAATTTTGTTTCAATAGATATTAAGTACTGTAGAAGACTCTTCACATATCTTTATTTAAAAACAAAAATCTAGCAACGCATATTACTTATGTCGCCATTTTATTAAAAAAGACGATTCGATCAGAGAACATTATTCGTTTCCTGTAGAATGTTAAATGAAATATACGAATATCGATTATGTAACAAAAATTTATCATTTGGAAAACGAAATATTTTATTACATGATAACAAATTAATTGTGTAACTAGAAAATAGTTGTACAAGGAGTAAGCATTGTGACTATATCTATCTGTAGAGAGAGTGTGAAGAATAGAGAGGTGCGAGTCCACATTCTTGTAAACGCATACCCGAACCTGACAATAAATTAAATAATGTATACGAATCCACAGTTTTCTAGTCAAGAATTCATTGACTATGTCTCGACGAAAGGTTTAAACTTATTTTTCTATGAGTGCAACTCAAAGCTTAGAAGTCTATTATGTTTTCAAATACGGACAATTCTTCAAATGATCATTTGAAGTATGGATAAACGAATCAAAATTTTTATACTCTTAGTCTTACTGGTAAACAAGCAAATGAAATAAATACTATTTGATATTTGTAAATATTATCTTCTCAGTTATAGTATTGAAAGGTTTATTACTTTGATTTTAATATCTATTATTCAATAAAAACAAAGGATGATTAAAAAATCTTTCACTAAATAATGAATGTTTCAATTTAAAGAAGATAATTACATCATAACTCTCAAAATTATTCAATCAAGTTTATTTTCAATTTTTTTCTGCTTCTGTAAATACTAATAAGAATCCAATAGTGATTGAAGTAGAGAGTTTCTTTTTCCTAATGTAATAATTTTCTAAGCCCAACTTCTCTGAAAAATCAAATTTTTCAGCTCTTAGAATTCTGAATAAATTAGTCACAACGATAGAATAAACAGTTCCGTACAAAATGAAATGTCTTTCAGCTGTCTATGACATTTATTGATCGGGATACATCAACCTTATGAAAGATACTAAAGGCGTTTTTCTGCTATTTCGTAAGAGAATGTCATTTTTGCGCCTTCTATACGACTGATATATGTCGGTCAGACAACGCCACCGAGAACTGGAATAAGCTTCATTAAGTAGAAAATTATTTTTTGTTTTATCGATCTCAATTATTTATTTTGAATTCTATTTACAAGATCTTGAAACTGAAAAAAACAAATAATTTAAAATAAACCTAGTCGAATAATTTTGAGAATTAATATTTATAGATTTTCGTTCTAAAACTTCAATAGATTTGAAGTAATCAGAATCATGAAGAACGTTTAATGAATGACTCAAACTTAATTTTGAATATATTTTCTTCAAAATAATATATTAATCAAATATTTTTCAATAATCTTACATTGATTTTTCATTTTGATTTGACATTGTAATTTTTAATAAAGGTTTTCGAACAATTTTTCCATTATATAAAGCAAAAACTGATTCACAAAGTAAAGCAATATCATCATGAAGTTTTTTTTTATTTGTTATTGGAAATAAACTACGTCCAAATGATACATATTCACCTATAGGTATAATACAAATAGGTAAATTTTGTAAAATATTTGATTGAAATAAATAAGGTGTTAATTCACTTAATGTTCCATCACCACCAACAATCATTAATGCAGTTAATTCATTTGGTTCAATTTTATTTGTTAATAATTCTTGTAAACCATCTGTATCTGTTATTGTATCCAAACGATAAACACGTACATCAAGACCAATTAAATGTAATAATGGAAATATTGTTTTATCATAAATTGATTTTGCTTTACCATTATTTGCTTTACCATTAAGTAATACAGCAATACGAGTTATACGAGTCATAGATGGAAAAGTTTGTGAACCTAATAAAGATGCTTGTTGACAATAAAATTGACGAATTTGATTTGCTTGATAACGATCATACGACCATTTAGTACCATAAGATAATGCACAAAAAGCAAATAAAGATTTTTTCCAATGATTACGAAGTGTTCGAAACATTAATTTTTTATTTTTAAAATTTAAGATATAGATAATTAATATCTATCGATTAGATAACGTTTTTTTATATAATACAAGAAAATTTTTGCTATATGTACTTGTTGTCTAGATTGTACCTCTTTGGTTTAATATATAGACGAATGATTGAATTATTAATTGATATTTATAGTATAATTGAAAAAACAAACATTGGTTTGCTATCTATTATTTTATAGATATGATTCTATATAACAAAAATTTAATTATTTCTTTTGTTTTTTATAAAACTACTCTAGAAAAAAGAATAGCGCCCTCTGTCATTAGAATTTTATCAATGAAATTCATTTAAATTTGAACGTCAAAAAAGATCAAAATTTTAAGATATGTCTAATTTTGACAAAAAAAAAAACCCGTAAATCATCATTTCTTGTTTTCATAGATTCTTTCTTGGATATGTAACATAGCAAAAATAAATCAGTTTAATGTCACATTAACTTTCTCTGCTGACCTACCTATCACTTTTGTTTTTTATGCTTTTTTTCTCTTATCATATATATTTGTTTAGACGATTAACTATTCACCTTTTGGCACAAATTTCATCGAATCTGATAACATCAAAATAACTAGTTTTGATTTTTATGATTATTAGACAACATGCGAAATGTCATCGTAATACTTTTTATGATGACGTGAAGCTATTTTTTCCATTAATCTACATCTTCTAAACAATTACCTAGGATGAGAATGAAAGCTATACAACTCAACGAACGTTACAAAGAAATTATTTTTATTTTGAATTATATTATGATATAAAACCTATCAAAAGAGAATATATATGCTTGGTTCGATTTTCTTTTTACATTTAAGCTATTAATTTTTAGCTAATAGTATGAGAGAAAGATAGTTCAGGAGAAGGGCGATGATAACATGGAAGATCACACTATGTCTAATGTTCAGCTGTAAATTTAACATGATCTGACGGGATTCAATTTTAAGACTCATCGTCCTAGGATTGATATGATTAATTTTCGACATGATTATTTCACTGTTGAGATGCGGAATAAGCTATAGATGATCTATTTGTCTTGAATGATATAAAAAATTAATTATTATTAATTGTTTTATGTTTTTTCGCAATTATGCTCTCATATGACTCATTTGTTTGCACTATCGTCAGTGGAGAGGTGGCCTTTTTTGTCCAGTTTGAATCATATGTATTGTTATTTTTTCTGTACGCAACTGGAGAACTACTTATCATGAATCACTCCTTGAAAAGTGAGTGTGTCATTTTCGGAGATGATATTTTATTAAAAACTGACTAAGATGGATACTCTTCAATTGAAATCAAGTCTTTCTAGTCTACTATCGTATGTGTTAAGACATTCCCCAAAAGGAAAGCCATCACAAAAGCTGCAAATTTCAATCTTTTATCAATAAAACAAATGTCCGTTGCATATTTTTTTTGCAACCATCTATGCGTTCTAGAAGGTAAATATGCTCTTCGCCGAAAGTTACATCGCCAAAATGCAGATCGCCGAGATTCGGTGAAGTATCATTTCGACCATGTGACTATCGGCGATTTTTATGCCTATGACCGAAACTATCGTGATATTCTCAGATAATATTTGCTGTATCAGAAAACTTCTATTATTATGTCTATTGATACTTATTGGGCTTAGCAATTATTATGAAGTGTCGAGTTAATAACTAACTTAAGTGAGTGATTCAATAAGTCCATAACTTGATCAAATCAGTTCCTAACTTGATCAAGTCGCTTCCTATCTTGATCAAGTTAGTAACTAACTTAACTACCCGAATATAGGCGACCAAAAGGAATTCGGCGATCTCGCTTTCGGTGATGAGGCATACAACCTTCTAGAAAAAGGTTTTAGTATGAAGATCGTATTATTTTCGAGTTTATATTGAAAATAAAATAATTCAAGGAAAACTATTTGTCATATTATCTACTATGAATGAATCAAAAAAAAAGGACTCAACAGGAAATAAATAAGATTGCAATTGTATTATCAAACAAAGTTGAATATAAATTGTCAAAAGTTATTTTACTTCAATTTGAATACATTCATACATATAAAAAACAAACATTAATATTGAATTAACTTTAGAAAAAAAAAAATATATATATATTGATTAAAAACAAAGGCTTAATATCATGAGTCTAGAATTTGTTTTAAGAAATGTTCTTTTTGTTTTTTTTTCCGGTTTACATTTCACATAGATTTTATTTTTCAAAACGATTTAATAATTCTGTTTTAGCATTAAGTAATAACTTAAATGCATCTTCACTTCCAGGTGCATCACTTTTATCTGGATGTAATAATTTAGCTAAACGTTTATAAGCTGTTAAAACATCTTCTTTTGTACAATTATGTCTTAAACCTAATCGTTCATAATTATCTTTATTATTACGTAAACGATTAATTGCTTCGATTTGTTCAATAGTAAAATTTATATTTGGTAAATTATTAGTTGGTGGAATACCACCATTTTCATTTGTATCAATCAATGCTGAAAATAGACTATCGAATAATTCTTGTACACCTGCACCGGTTGCAGCTAAAAAAAAGAAACAAAAAGGAAAATAATTAAATAATGTTAAAACAAGAAATTGAATAATGAATTTTTTGATCTAATAGTAGATCGAGCAAGCAAAGATGAAATATAGCGATAATCAAATTTATAAAGATTTTTATCATTAATTTATTTTGACATATGAATTCAATCTGAAAAAGAAAATCGATGCAAATATCTTTTCAAATTTTAGAGTTTTTCTTTTGATTAAAATAAGGGGTATATGTAGTTGGTTGCAATGTCTTTTTCAGATTTCCTTATTTCCGAAAGGACAATTAAAGTTTCGGGAAGATGAACATTATTTTTTTTTGAAATACTGGCACGTTAGTACAATAATTACAAACTCAAGGACAGATAATTTAGTCTTCGGAAAGGCAACGAATTGATGCTAAATAAAAATTTTCCGATAGATCTTAATAACCTGTTATAGACGCATGAAGATCTACGTTTTGTAGGTCTATTCGATCCTACGAATTGAATATTGAGCATGTTCATTTTCAGATAGTACTGAATAAAGTCAATATTCTCAATGAAAGAAATTCTAGAGATAATTTTTTGTATGTTCTAGTACTAAATAACGATAATTTGACTAGAACAAGATTTTCGTCAGACTAATGATTTTCAAGTCGCTATATCAGTAAAAATTATCAAATTAATGAAATAAAGGATATCCTGAAAGTTGCAAGGCAATTGCGAGCTAGTCAGTGTTTTATTTAGTTTGGAGGCCAAGCTCTCAGTAATATATATAGTTGAACCTTATAAACTATTAATATCTATTCTATTCGAAATCTTCAGAATATTCTAATTCTTGTAGTTAAGAATTTTTATAAAAATCATATATACTTATCTTTGAAGTACAAATAATCTACTTAAAATATTCATAATCATTAATAATTGTTCTTTAAAATATAAAAATTAAATAAAATTTATTTGAATACCTGATGTTTCAAAATATTGATAACCACGAACATTTGCCCATAGTTTAGCTTCATTTTCATCAACAACTCGTTTTAAATCATTTTTATTTCCAATAATAAAAATAATAATTGAAGATTTTTGTCCATTATTTAAATTTAATTCTTTTTTCATTTCACATAACCAATAATCTAATGTATCAAATGATCGACGATTTGTTAAATCAAATACAAGTAAAATACCTTGAACATCACGATAAAATTCATTTCGTACTTCATAAAAAAGTGGATGACCAGAAAAATCAAATATATTCATACGTACATCATAATTACGTATACGTAAACGTGTTACACCATAATCAATACCAATTGTTGCCATATATTTTGGTACAAAACGTTTTTCACAATAACGTTTAATTAAACAACTTTTTCCAACATTAACATTACCAAGACTAATTATTTTTAATCGAAGAAGATAATCAGATTTTGTTGTCATGTTTTGTTTTGATTTTTGCTATCTAAAATAATTATGAACAAATGTATTCATATTAAAATATGATCTAGATTCTAGAAGAAAAATTTTCTTTTCTTTGATTTTTTTTTTCTATAAACTAAGCAAATAAATGAAATAAAAAAAATGTCGCTTGTTTCAACTAGGATTCTGTTCTACCAACTAAAAATTTTAATATATATATATCATTAAACAAAACTACAAAGAAGACACTAGAAGAGGTGTCATAAATAATTTTAAACTATTGTAAATTGAATCAAGTTTGCATGTAATATAAAATCAAACAATACTTGTCGTCATCTTCACACTTACTTGACAATAATCACAAAGTTTAAGAATGTGATCGTTCAATCAATGTAGAAAACTTACTGTAACAAAAAAGAAAAACCGTAATAAACAACAATCTTTCTTTTCAATCAGGTTTTTTTTTCTTTTTTTTGCAAATTTCTTTCCACATGTTCACATTATCTTCGTCATTCAACAATTCTAGAGTAAGAGAATATGTTGTTCAATTAACTATACACATTGTATATAATATAAACAAAGACAAATTGAAAGAAGGAATGAATAGAACTCACATATTATTACTTATTTTTTCTTCTCATTTCTTAAAGTAACTAAGGTAACAATATACGCACAAACGGTGAGAATATTATAGAAATTGCGATAGATGGAGATAGATATTTTCAAATCAGAATTGAAATTAAAAAAAAAGAAAAGAATCTTTATTTGATCAATAATAATTTGATTTATTTCTTATCGGTAAGAATTGTTATCGTTGACATATATTTTTTTTCTCTTTGAAAAAAAAAGAATGGAGTTTTTGTTTCAGTTGAATGTCATATAAAATAGAAATCAAATATCGTTCAAATTAATGAAACATAATGGAATTTTTATATGAGATTAGTATCAAAAGAAAGGTTACAATGCCGAAGGTTTTAAGTCAACTTATTTCTTTTTTCAATCAATAGTCATTTGTACATATAAAACAAATTTGTTCTATC